TTCCTCAGCTGCTCCTGCCTGTGTGCCTGGCTCTTTCCTTTCCCCTGCCATCTCTCAGGAAGTCTGGGTGCCATCCTCCATCCTCTTCTGCCTTCAGCTCATAGAGAAACTTTTGGGTCCCTCACCTCCAGGGCCCCTAATAAAGGAAGAGGCAGGGTGTGGGATCTGTATTTGCAAAAACTGCAGCTGACTCTGGCATGGAACCAGCCTATGCCCAGACGTCAAGCAAGGCAGTGGGGAGCTGGTTCTGTGCAGCGTCTTCATACCTCTGTCTCCTGGGTGACTCTGAAGTCATGGGCACAGCCACCCTCGTCAGTGCTAGGTTGGTGATTGACACAGAGGGAGTTTTATAGGTGTGTGTTGATGGATGGATGGATGGACAGATGGATGGATGGAGAGGTGGATGGACAATTGAATGAATGAATGAACTTGAGGGGTGGGTTGTGGTTAGATCCTTGAAGGAGACAATCAAAAGTGGAATTCCTAGCTATAGAGACAGATCCCTCAACGTCTCTGAGCTCCTCAGATGAAAGTGTCTTTCTACAGCGTGCCTCCCCTGAGAGCCCTGCCCTCTGCCCCCTCTCTTTCATACACTGCTTCTCATTCTCATGCACTGAGACCCCCCCAAAACCCACCGTCAGCACTCTGCAGAGTACCAGCATCCTGTGGTGCCGTGAGGCAGAGCCACCTCTATGGTACCATCCACATCCCTGGCCACATTCTGTCTCTGCTCAGTTATTTGACTCAGGCCTGGACCTACCTCACGCCCTTTTTTTTAAAAAAAAATTGCGAGTACATCTCCTGTGACTCTGGCACCCAGGCACTCAGGACAAGGATGGATTGAGTCAGGTCACAGCTCTTGGTAAGAGTTCTTTGTCTTCTAAATCTAGGCTAGAGTGTTCTAAGTTGGGAGATTAATAGGCTGAGCTGATTTCCAGGGGATCATTTTATTTTTAAATTCCAACCAAGGTGCATATTCAGCCCGTCTGTATGAAGGATACAGATGGGGACTTGAGCAGCGATACGGTAGCGTCTGGGGTCCTTGTGCTGCCGGGAACAGCCTGGTCCACAGCTGCCACCCTGGTTCACAGCCACCACCCTGGTTCACAGCCATGTGGCTAATGGACCAAACACTCAGCAGGACAAGCAGCCCCGAGGTGAGGCACCCTAATGGCTCTGCTCTCTCCCATCCTACAAGAGTCCCAGGAAGTTTCCCTCATTTCCCACAGGATGGCTATGCCATATTTGTTTTGCTATCATATCACCTGTCATGGTCCTTAGACTTCCTGTGACTTCCAAGTGTCACAAATAGGACTGATCTCATGGGACCTTAGAAACCCTCTCACCCACTCCTGCTGAGTTAAATCAGGCAGAATAATATCACGTGTCCACCCTTGCTCAGTGCAGGGGGCGTGGGTGCCCAGTGACGGGATCACCCTGAGGCTGTGGTGGAGTCACACACTTCCTGGTGGGTCCTGGTGGGGTGAGCTGCATGTCTGAGCAAAACTGAGGATCCTTCTTCTGTAAAGGGGGCAGGGGCAACCAGTGGTGTCTGCTCCCTTTGCCATGGATGTGGGATCTTAAACAAAGGACTGGCATCTCCACATCTATGGTCACCATGACTGCAAGGATTGGCCGTGTTATCCTGTCCCTGGCATTGCTGGTGGTCACACAGCCTTCTTGCCAGGTTGATGTTGGGCCAGGACCTTGCACGGACTGGGTACAGCACTCATAGGTGCCCAGTAGCTGCCTTCCCAGTGGCTGACCTCTATTCGTGAGATGTTCACTACCAGTGACATGTGGGGGCCAAGAGCATGTGCACCAGGGGTGGCTCTTGTGTGCAGCGCTTTTGGAGAATGAAGAGTTCACTCATTCTGAGTCCAATGCCAGTGTCAGGAGCACAGTCTCACCGGGCTTGCACCACCGCTCTGCAAGTTAGGGCCTCTCATTCTGCTTCCAGATGAGCAAACGGAGGCCCAGGGGCCTCCAGCAGCTGCTTGTGGGTTTAGCCACATGCATGGGGCTCCACTCTAGGCCCTGTTTCTGCAGTGTCACACCTGCCTGGGCAGACAGCTCTGGGCCTTCTGGTGCTCGGAGCCTTTCCGGTGCGGATTCTCTGACAATCGCATGCACTCCTCCACAGGAGATGTGGGCCAGAATGAACCCAGAGGTGATGTCCTGTGTCCTGCTCTGCAGTAGCAGGGCCCAGGGCCCCCACACACGTCCTGAGATGCCTCTGTCTCTGCTCTCGGCAGTTGCTGGCTCAGGTGCCGTGGAGCTGGGCTGAGTGGTTTGCTCTCTGTCCGGTCTTGTCCAGTGTCTGGGATTGTTGAGTGTTTGAGCCTGGCTGCAGTATTTTTTGACGGCTCAGCTTTGAAGAGGTCGGCTGTCACCTCATGTGGTGGTGGCGTGCCTTCCCTGGCAGCCCTCCTTTCCCTGATTATGTGACGTGACTTTGGCTCCTTCGTGCCTTCTCAGCTGTGTATGGCTGATCTGTGTTGTCAGACAGAGTCCCTCAGGATAGATGAAATATTAATAATTCCGTAGTGCTAATTTAAACACACCCATTGCACATATATAATTGAATTCCCTTCGGGCTTCCCTCCGGTCTTTAAATCAGGTCCACCCGTGCCTCTACCATAAATCAAGTGGTTCTCTCAGGCCCTTGGGGGACTGGCACAGAAATCTACCATAGGAGAGCAGAGTGCAGGAAATCTCAGCCCAGGCTTTGAAAACTCTCATTCCCTTTGCAGCGACTGGAAGCTGAACTCTGATCTAACAGCTTGTTCATGGAAAGCAGTCATGAACCTAGCAATAATCAGCCCTGGATTTTGCATTTAGGGAAAAAGAAATCTGGAAGCACCCCACTGGCTGAGGACCCTTGTGTAACACCATCCCCTCCCCCTCTGCGGAGTGCCTGGCCACGAAATGCAGAGGGGCAGGCCTCTTCCACGTGGCTGTTAGAAGGAAATACCCCAAAAATAGGTTCAGAGTAGCAAATGATTAGTCCTGAGGTTTTTTTTTTTTGTTTTTTTTTTTTTTTTTTTTTTTTTTTCCTTTTCTGATTATTAAGCTGAGTATTTTTGGTTTTGGAAATTTGGAAAACACACAAAATCATAAAGCAGAAAATGAGGGCTCGAGTCTGTTAGATTCCACAGATGAGGCTGGCATCTGCCTTCCTGTGTCTGGCTTATTTCACCTAGTGTGACGTTCTCCAGGCTTCTCCATGGTGTCACAAAGGACAGAATTTCCTCCTTGTAAAAGGCTGAATCGTATTACACTGTGTTTACAAGCTACGTTTGCTTTGTCCACTCATCCCTTGATGGACATGGTGGTCATTCCCATAGCTTGGCTACCGTGAGTAATGTCGCAGTGCGTGCGGGAAAGCAGACATCTCTCTCGGTGTCCCTATGTCATTTCCTTTGGTCACGTACCCTGTGGGCGAATTTCTGCTCCTCCTAACTTTATCCTGTTCCCCATCCTGGTGCACCGCCAGCGTTCGAGGGTCCCTTTTCCCCACACCCTGCCAGAACTTGTTACCTCTGTCTCTTGGATGGCGGCCACTCTGACAGGTGAGCTGGCGTCTCGCTGTGTTCTCACTTCCAGTCTTTTTAGTGATGCTGGGTGTGGAGAAAAGCCGGGGAGACGCTGGTCCACAGACACATTTCTGACAGGAGGAAGCTAGGGAGAATTTCTGTCCATCAAGGTGACTCCACTTAGGAGCAGTGTGCAGAATTCCTGAAAACAACCACAGTAGATCTGACAGGCTTCTAGCACAAAAAGTTAACAGTAAGTGAGGGAACACAGGTGTTAACTGACCAGAACTAGCCGTTACACGGTGTGTACGTGTTCCAAATCATCATAGTGGACGTGATACATATCCATAGTGATGAACAACTTTCATTTGTTTATATAAAGATAAATAAGTTGTAAAGCATTTAAAGAGAAGAAAATAGCCATCCTTCACAATTGCTATTGGAAACATACAGACTTGTCTGTGAAGGTTTGAGCGTCCTCCTTCACGCTGGCCTCCTCCTGTGACTGCTCCTGTCTTTCCTTTAATCTTTTTCTTTTGTACTATTAGGGTCATATTATGCGTGTGGTTTTGCATCCTGATCTTCCCTCCATGTTGTTTTTTTTATATTCCCACAAATGCTTGGCCGTGCCATGTGGACATTTTAGATTAAATGTCATTGTGCCCAGGTTGGAAGGCTTCAGGTGGAGATTGCTGGGTGCAGTGGGAGGAACCATTCATAAAAAAAACTTTGTTTCTTACAAATATTGATTTTAATGCAATATCTAAGCCATTTTCTAGTTTAAAAATATTTTCACCTGAAGCAGATGTCATTCGTAATCTGCCACCTTGTGAGGATTATGCTGAATGAAGTATTTAGGAGCTGGATATTTTACTTGCAAAGTTGCTTCGGTACGAAAATTTTCATTGTCTCAGAAAAGAAAAGGAAGGAAGAAAGAAGAGGTTGAACTGTTGATCTGTGCATATTCTAAACATAATTCTCTTCCTTTTTAGCCTGGTAGTGTTCTGATCTTTAAAAGACATCAATCCTGCCAGCATTTACAAATCAAAAAGGTTGTTTCTTTCCTTAGGCCAGTACTTGTTTAATTACTGTCCTCTGGATGCTTTATAAACCTCACTGCTAGGTTTTGAGCAAGTCCTAAAGGCATGATCTGGGCAAACCATTAATATTAAGGCTGGGGCCGTAGGAAAGGGAAACATTTTTGAAATGTTTTCTCTGCAAAGGTATACATGTGCTTCAGAATGCCAGTTCAGGCCAGACCTTTATTTTATTTCTAATTTTTGCTTTGGCATGCTCAGTGTCCCTCACAGGAGTGGAATGTCCTCACCTTTCTTAAAAGGGAAGGTTTTTCGAGCTCTTTTCCTCTCTAGAATATATCCTGATCATGTTCTAAGCAATAGGCTTTGTTACTCACTCTTTGTCTTCAGGAACAAATAAGGATTATCATATCAAATTCTTTTTCAGGTTGTCCAGGTCCCTGGTGACCGGCGAAGAGTGGTGTTGATCAAGGCCAATGCCTCACAGAGAGAGAAGATGGTGAGGCCCAGGGCGACAGAAGGTAGAGTTTGTAGCCCAGACTGCCCCACCCTGCCACGGGGTCTGAATATGGTTCTGTACCTTGGAATCGTGTGGTCCAATCCCCCATGAGCCATGTAATGGTATTGAGAGGGTAGAAACTTAACCTGACTGCAATGCTGGTGGGTGGGACTTCTGCAAAGAGAAGCAATTAAATGGGGTCATTGAGGCAGAGCCTCACGGTCGAGTCCAGGTGGTTTTGTAAGGTAGGATAAGGGGCTGGACAGGCCAACAGACAGAATGCTCCCGTGGAGGTGATGGGGAGGCTCACTGGAGACTATGCCATGCTCACTGGGCCTTCCAGCCTCCAACACATGGCTCAACATGAACCTTTCTTCTTTAGAAAGTAAACTGCATCAGGCATTTTGTACAGCAAAGAAAATCTAATAGTGTAACTTCCAAAGACTTCGTTAAAAAGTGTGCATATGTGAAGATTCTCTCTGTTTAATATGTGGTATTTGTGGCCCCAAATCTTGTTTTTTTGTCTTTTTGAGATAGGGTCTCTATGCAGTTCAGGCTGGCCTTGAACTGACTTTGTAGCCCAGCCTGGTCTCAAACTCACAACGATCCTCCTGCCTCAGTCTCCCGAGTGCTGGGATTACAGGCGTGAGCCACCACGCCCGGCTGTGGCCTCAAATCTTCAGTGGCCTTTTCTTGGATGTTTTGCTGTGCTTTGGGGAATCATGCTGGCTCCATGAGACACCCTTGACCATCTCCCGAATAAGACGTCCTCTCTCCTGCCACCCATGCTGGAGATTTGGGAGTTGCTGCTCAGAGCCCGGCAGCACCTCTTCCTCCCACAGCCTGCCTCTCCTGTCTGCCTCTTCCAGAAGAACCAGCGGGCCAGAGCACTATCTGCAGACCCATGCTGTCACGGGATTTCTGGTTTTCTGTGTTACTGCTAACTGTAGAATATCGCCATTTTACAGTTGTTTACCCACATGCAACTGAGCATTATTTCCAGAGCACACACAGGGAGCTAGTCTGTGTATTCAGTAACCAGACCCTCAAAATAAAGACCAAAACCACCCTGGCAAATGCCAGCCCTTGCCACCAGAACCTCCCGGGGATGTTAGATTTCTCTCCAAAAAGTGTCCCAGAGTGAGAGGTTGATGGTGGGATCCACATAACAGAGTTGAAGAGTCTCCTCTTTGCTAAAATTAAGACAATCTGGGACATCATGCTGGGATGTGCCGTGGACAGGAGTGGTGTCCAGGAAGAGGGTAGAAATTATGGGTGTGTGTCCTGAGGCCACGTCTCCATCGGGGGCTTCTAAACGTCATGTGTTAAAATAACTCAGAGTCCCTCACTGGCAGTGTATGAGTCTCTTGACACTACTGTGACCAAGCACGAAAGACGGGGTGGGTTAAATAGCAGAAATCCATTGCCTCACAGTGCTGGAAGCTGGGTGTCTAAGAGGAAGGCGTCGGCCGGCCTGATTCTTTTCAAGCGCTCGGAGGCAGAATCCGTTCCAGGCCTCTTCCTCCTCAGTTTCTCTCTGAGTCTTCACATCATCCTCCTGCTGTCCGAGTTTATCTCCAGATTCCCCCTTTCTGTAAGGACACCAGGCATAATGGATTAGGGACCTTCTATTACTTTGATCACTCCTACAATTAGTGTGTCTCCTAATGTAATTCCATCCCTGGGAACTGGAGGCTGGTACTTGGAGAGGAGAACTGACAGTGGTAACGGGTGTGTGTGCTACCCGCTCCAGGGCCAGGCAGCCTGGATGGAGTATAAGGGACAGGAAGGGGACCACTGATACTGCTTGCTGCCTGCCATGGACTGTTTCTCCTCTGTGATGCCCTTCCGCCAACCATGGAGCAAGCCACCATGAACTGAAGCATCTACAGATTGTGGGCTATCATAAACCCTTCCTCTTTGAAGTCTGGGTGTCGGGCATTTTGTCTCGGCAATGAGAAAATTATCTAAGATGAACAGTGATGCTGTCGGCTGGGTGGCACGGGAGGGGCAGAACTTGGGTTCTGTGGATCTTTGGGTCCACAGTGCTTCACTGAGGACTCGGGAATGATAACCGCACTTACACCAGACACCTCGTGCATCGCCTTGGTTGATGGTGCTGCTGATAGTGGTGACCCAATAGTCTTTGGCTCCAATGCCGGGGACTGGGAATATCTTCTTTCCTTGCTTCTCTGCCTTTTTTCTGAGCCATGTGCCTCTGTGCAAGGCTCCTTGGTGGCCCCTTTATGTCTCTGTGAGAAGCAGCTCTGTCCTTCCTCTGCTCTTCCTCTTCTGGCACTTCTGCTGGTGGCCCTTTGTGTGCCTGCATAAATTCCTTTCCCGTCTTGATTTCTCCAGGAGCTTGACTGTGTTGGGCCTAGCCTCCGAATCTTCTTCCCTGGGATTTTATCCCTGATGCCGTGCGAGTAATCTAGACCTCCCTGGAAGAGACCGGAGACACGGACCATCCTTACTAAGTTCAGATCTTGGTTGGTGACAGGCAGAGTGGCCGCTGTGCCTCTGTGGGTTTTGGTGATCTTAGATATCCACCATGCCATGCCTATTTATCCATGTGAGTGTGGCCAATGTCCTGGAAGTCTGGCCAGGGCCTGGCCTGTGAAGTGAGATTCACTTGTTCCCAGGAAACACTGCAGATTTTGCGGTGTGTGCTTGGAGATCTTTCTGACCATGGGTTAGGATGAAGTTAAATTTCCTTTGAAATTCCTCTTCATGTCTTCTTTGATCTCTCTGGCTGGAAGAGCTTCCCGGGAGATCTTGGTAACTTACTTATTTAAGGCAGAGTGTACAGATAGAGCAGGAATCTGTTGTCACAGAAATGCAGTGTAATGAACCACCCCAAAACTCGGGCCTAAACAGGAAGAGCATGCCTAGCCCATGGGCCTGCAGGTTGGCCGTGGCTGGGCAGCCCTGCTCTGGCCACCTCTCTCTGTCAAGAGCTTCAGCTGTCCACAAGATGATCCAGAGAGGTCTTGGCTGGTGACTAAAGCCACTCAGTTTGGCCCACGTGTGTTTGGCCCTTTGTGTTCTGTGGCAGTGGGAGGTCACGAGACAGCTTGGAAATGCTTTGTGCCCCCTGAGACTTTGGCCAGGAATCAGCCTCAGCCTCTGCCTCATCCTAGTGGCAGCAGCAAAAGCAGGGCTGGGGAGGAACTTCGGCCTCTTCGGTGGGAACAATGACAAGGTCTTTAGTGAGGGGGCAGCTCCAGGAAGGAGGGGAGAATGTGAGTCATCTCTGAGCTTTGGGTGCATAGGGTGACCCCAAAGCAGAACATTTCCATGTGCCCAAGGCACCGGGACTGAGGTCCAGGGAGCAGGAAGGGGAAGATCCCAGTTTCCCTGGGCTGGGAGTGCCCCAAAGGTCCCTCCTCTGCAAGCTCTAGGTTGGAGGTAGTCACAGGTCAGCTGGGACAGAGGGAAGGGGACAAACCTAGCCATTGGTGGGGAGTGCAGGGGGGTTGGGGTGGGAATGCCTGGGAACACACGTGCTCCTGGGATCGGTGTGAAGGGTGCAGAAGACTCCTCCTGGGCTGAGTGACTGCTGCTGTGACATGCTGCCATGGGGACGGGAGGATTTATGGGGTCGGTTGGGGGTGCAGCTCCTGGGCGCTATCAGCCACACCTCGTCCTCTCTGAGTCTGTGCGTCTCTTTCCTAGAGGCCCATGGGAACCTGGGTCATGGTCAGCTGCTGCCCAGTTCTGCTCCAGACAGTACTGCATTCCTTTTGCATTTTAACTGTTATTTGCCCTGACAAATTGCTTTAGATCTCATGAAGAAAAAAGTAATTGCATGCTTTCCAAAACCAAGAAATTTGGCTGTGGTTAAAAAAAAAAAAAAAAAAAAAACGGGTAATAATGACCTCAGCTTCTAATCGTGTCATCTTCTTGGCCAGCCCTGGATGCCACCTTGGGAGATCTGGGCCGGAACCTTCTGGCGGGGAGAAGGCCTGGCTGGAGGGGAGCGGAGTGGACAGGTTTCTAGCAGGCAGTGTCAGGAGGGGCGGGTGGGAGCCACGCCCCTCAGGACTCTTCTGAAGGTGTTGGCATGTCCTGGGAGCAGCATGCTCATGGAAGATTTGGAAAACAGCTTTTTGGGTCTCCAGTTCTGTGAGGATATTGTTTATTTTTATTTTGAGATTTAGTACTGCTAAGAGGCATAGGCCAGATTTACAATGAAGGGGAAAAACTGATAGTGACACAAAATAAGCCACAGACCTAAAAATGTGACGGGGGAAGGTATTTTTAGCACCAACAAAATGCTGATGGCGGAGGGTGCAGAGCTACAAAGACTGGGCAGAGAAGGCTTATGGAGAGCCTGCAGCCCACAAAGAGGGACCCGGGGCAGGAGAGGTCACCAGAGGGTCCGGCTGTGGCCAGCACAATGGCCAGCCAACAAGGGGCCTGGGAGCAGCAGGGACTGCGGGGAATGTGGAGGCAGGCTGGGCACAAATACCTAGCCCTGTCTCCTCTCCCTGTGGTCTGCAGAAGATGTCACACTTACCAAACTGGACACGTGACTGGTGGACAAGAAAGCACCCCGGAGGGGAAGATGGGGTTTCATGAATGGGAGGGACCCAGGGGTGATGAGAATGTTTTTTACCATCTGAATACGGGCTCTGCTGGAGGAACTGTTTACTTCTGGAAAACTCTTCCAATAGGGGCACTTTTACATTTTCATTCATTTAGGAGATGTTTAAAATGGTATCTTTGGCCGGGCATGGTACGTGCCTGCTATGCCAGCACTTGAGAGGCTGAGGCTGGAGGGTTGCCCTGAGTTCGAGGCCAGCCTAGGCTACACGTGAGTTCAAGGGCAACTGAACTGCATAGTGAGACCCTGTCTCAGCATGCCCCCAAGTCTGTCTTCAAGATATACACTGATACCTGTGAATTAAGTAAGCCCTGTCTTTCTCCTAGGCCTTTGAGTGACCAGGTGACCCTGGGCAGATCAGTCCCCTGCCCGACGTCCTCGTGTGGAGTGGAGGTTGGGATTAAATGAGCACACACATTGGCAGCCCACTGCTTGGGCCACACAGAGTGCTTGGCGAGCTGGGAGCTGTGCGTTCCATGAACAGCCTGGAAGGGAACAGAGAGGGCAGCGTGGGTGAAATCAGTGCTGGTGGGAATTTAAGGCCACACCGCAGTGTAATAGGCAGTGCCCCCCTTTTCAGTTTCATTTCTCCATTTTAAGGGTCATAGATGCTGCCCGTGTAAAATGATGGGTGTGAACTGCATGTTAGGGTGTTTAATCTCAAGTTCTTGGGAGGCTGAGGCAGGAGGATTACAAGTTTGAGCCTGGCTTGGCCAACTTTGATACCCTGCATCAAAATACAAAATAAAAGGAGCTAGAGTATAGCTCAGTTGCAAGGCCCTGGCTTCAATCCCCAGTACCACAAAACAATGTGTGTGTTTGTTTAGTGGAACGTGATCACTGTACATACTTCCGGGTGCGACGTGACATTTCAGTGCATGTGGTGGCATGCTTCGTAGTGGCCAGCCCAGGGTCATGGGTACATCTGTTGTCTCAGTCATTTCCTTCGGCTGAGCACATTGGAACCCCCTTTCCTAGATATTCTAAATGTCACCCACCACTGTCCTGGAGAGCGCTAGGAGTCACTTTCCTGTGCTGGTCAGGGCCTCCTGGGGACAGGGGCTGGACAGTTTCCTCTGCATTGTCAGACTCAATTTCCAAGGGGATCAAAGTAAGAGATAGTCCCAGTGCTGTGGAAACGAGACCCCCAGACACCAAGTGTACCTCGGGCGCCAGAAGGGTGCTTTTGGGCAAAGCGTAATGAATACAAAACTGTGATTTTTTTTAACTGTCGATGTGTCATGTTGGGGTCTCCTGGGTGACGGACCCTGAAACACGGCTGTCTGCTATTGATCCCGGTGCCCCGTTTTGTCTTCTAGCTGTCGCAGGCTCTGCACAGAGGGTAGACGAGCCGGCCCTCTGAAGGACATGGTTCAGACTGTCCCGGACCCCACCGCGCATATCGAGGTAAGGTCCCTCTCAGCCTGGAGCAGCTCCGGCCTCTTCCTGGCCTGTGTGTTGTGGGTGACTCGCTGCCTGGGTGTTAGCTAAGGCAATAGCCAAACCCAGCCACCACCTGTCCCTTAGCTGAGCAAATGAGTTCCACGATTTTACACAGATGAAAAGAATCCAAGGACTATTTTGTGACACGTGCAAATTGTGACACATGCCGTTTGGTGTCCAGAAAGATAGTTCTGCTGGGACACAGCCACGCAGGCTGTTCCTCAGTGACCCTTGGCCACTCCCACTCAGCCGGGGCAGGTTGAGTAGAAGCCACCACGACCACGTGGTGGCAAGCCCACAGCATTTGCTGTCCAGATCTTTAAAGTTTGCTGACTTCTGATTTAATACATGAGATCACCTCTGAGTTCTTCACCTTCTCTCTTAATTCTGTCACCTTCACATCCGTCAGGGTTTGCCAGGAAGAGAGTAGAGAGCGGGAAATGGTTGGATTTCCAGTGTTTAATTGTGTGTATGGTATTGTGGGCTGAACCCAAAGCCTTCACACTGAGCTACATCCCTGTCCTTTTTGATTTTTAGATTTTAAAACAGTACCTGGTGAAGTCCTTCAGGTGCCCAGGTTGGGTTTGAATTTGCTATTTTCCTGCCTCAGCCTCTCAGAGAGCTGGGATCACAGAGATTTGTCACCGCACCTGCTCAGAAGCCTTTCTGTGTCTGCATGCTGGCCCCCTTGGGAGCTAGTCACCTTGCTTGACTGCTCCCTGCTCACGCTCCCTGGGACGTGGGTCAGTGATCAGAGCAAGTCCCCAGGAGGAGTCTGACCCACTCGTTCCTATGCATGTTTGTTCCCAGCACAGCTACAGGAAGCAAAATACTTGACACAAAAGCTGCAGAAAATATGGGGGCTTGAGTTATGTTACCGAGGAAGGCTGTCCAGAAGCTGAGTGTGGTGGTGCATGCCTGTAATCCCAGCATTCAGGAGGCTGAAGCAGGAGGATCTTTGTGAATCTGAGGTCAGCCTGGGCTACACAATGAGCTCAAGGCCAGCCTGAACTGTTCAGTGAAACCTTGTCTCAAAAAGACAAAAGGAAGAAAAAGGCCTTCCACACCAGAATTGCTTGTGTTTTTGCAGTATGGAGGGTTGAACCCATTGGCCTTGTGTGTGTGAAGCATGTGCCCTGCCCTTGAGCCACCTCTGCTGGAGCTTGGTGTTGCTTCCTTTACAGATACTAGCTGTGTGGCTATTCTTCTCTCTCCGCATGTAAATCCTTTTTTCCTGAGTTGCCCGGACTGTTTTACTAATTTATATTTCTTACTTAAAGCGTATTGAAAATAGAAGGAGGCTTATAACTGACAGGAGAGTCGTGGTCTTGAAACATCAACTGCTTTGGCTAAAACATGAAACGCCCTCCAGGATGCCACATGTATTTCACGCATACACACATACACGCACACATTTTAAAGCAGTGCCCTGGGGAGAGTGTTACTGACTATGTACCATATGTCCTCTACACATTTAATTGCTTTGAAAATGGGGTAGCGATGATTAGGGTTAAATGCAGCCTTTGTGCTTTTGGGGTGTTTGGGAGTTTCTGGCATCAGGGTGACTCTGGTCCTGGAAAGAGCCTGGACTTTGCCGAGGGACACACAAGCAAGTCCTTATGGGGGCCTCAATGATTTGATCTTTGTGTGCTCTTTTACTGTGTGTGACAGTTCTGCCCGTGGAAATGTAAGCAGGAACTCGCTTGTGACTTTTTTCCCCCAGCAGTACCTGGATCATATCTGGTGTGTAGACACCGAAGGCAGGGAAAGGTCTTTTTTCCTCTGTAAGGTCCGTTGGTGTTTAGGATGAAGGATGCAAACAGATGCTGTCAGGGCTGGTGGCGAAGGAGTATTTTCTATGGATCAGAGTGTGAGGATCGGCCATGTGCTTTTCGCGCATCGTTCTCCAAACCAACCAGAAGGAAACATGGAGGTCAGCGAGGTACTGCGGAGTTTGAAAAGTTTGCTTACACATCTCTGTTTTACACAAACCTGAAGCCTGTAGCCTTTGAAATGCGATTTAGGGTAAATGTTCTGCTTTTGGTCTCAGAAATGAACTACGTTTTCGACTCCACTCTATCTGTCTTCATACCCGGTTGACATAAATATAAAGTGAAGGATGATTTTGAGGAACAGTAACTGAGAGGTTTTAGAAAAATAAATTTCAACTCAATTCACTTGTGTGCTTTGGAGAGACGGGCTGGCCATATAAAGTTGCTGTTACCGATCGCCGGCGCTGGCGCCGAGGCAGAGGAAATCACATTAACGCTGTTTGTGTCTTTTAGAATAACCCTCTCCAGACTCTGCCCGTTGGAATCTGGGTTATTCCTGGGCTTTTATGTGTGTGTTTTGTATGTGACATTGGTGTTTTTGACAACAAAGTTAAGAGAAGGAACGTTTTGCACTGTTACCTTCAAAAGCCCCGCTTGGGAATTTATCCAGGGAGCTGAGTGTGGCCCCACGTTGGTGGCCCAGGGCTGACTCGGGACAGACAGTGACGAGCTTGTGTGGACACTGGGAGATGCTGCCTTTGCCTCGTGGCCACAAGGATAAGTTTGTCACCTGCAGAGGCCTCAAGTCTCCAAAGCAGTGGCCAGATCTTGCAGGCAAGTGCTGAGTGATGCTGATAAAAGATGCTGAATTGAAACCTGGCGTGGTAGCTCATGCCTGTAATCCCAGCACTCAGGAGGCTGAGGCAGGAGGATCACTGCGAGTTCGAGGCCAGCCTAGATGCAAAAAGAGCTCAAGGCCAGCCTTAACTGCATAGTGAGACCCTGAAAAACAGAAGATGCTGAACTTAAACTCCATATGTGTTATAGAAGAAAGGGTCTAAAGTCACTTTAGAGGCAGCGATGCAGTGGGTGAGGTCCCCTGGCAGCCCAGAGCCCAGCAGACCAGTGGGACTCCACTGGGTAACTCGAAGCAGATGCCGAGGGTGCCAGGCTGAGTCACGTGGCTGGGATTAGGCGACGTCTCGGCGGGTGTGATTTATCCATAGCCACAGCGAGCATGGATTCTGCTGGCTCGATCACTCCCGGCTGACAAATGATGCATTGAGTTGTAAAGCGTTTCTCACACGTTTGCAAACAAGATTTATAGTGACTTTGCTTTGTAGGAAGGTGGGAGGCTTAGCCCTTTCAGAATATATTCAGAAGAGGTGTTTTCTCCCCAAGTCTGTGTACTGTGGAGGTGACTCAAGGCTTTGATATGCTGCCGTTTTTCATTAAGTAAGATGTGGGCGGCTTCCTGCCTGCTGTGCACAGCCCCGTTAGCTGACTCTGTGCTGGTATAGCTGTGCTTTCTTTTTTTTGGCTGTTGTTTTTGGTGTTTTTGTTTTTGTTGCTGTTGTTATTGTTGTCATTCATTTTTCTGTAGTGTGGTGGCACTTAAATATGCAAGAGCAGAGTGGCTGTGATGTCTGCAGGTGTGCATTAGTTTTGTCGTTAGAAGAAAGATAATATTGATTTAAAAAGAACAAGATATTTAGCTGCATGAGGCAGTGCATACCTGTAATCCCAGTCCCTTGGGAGGCTGAGGCAGGAGGATTACACATTCTCACCTAACCTGGGTGATTTAGAGATTTAACAATAATCTGTTTTAAATAAGAAAAGGGTTAGGGATGGAGCACAGGGTGAAGACCCTGGATCCAATCTCCAATACTAAGCAAACCACGCAAGTGAGGTCCCAGCTTGCAGGAGCTTGGACGCCAGTGGGCGGGACATGGGATTACCCAGCGCCTGTGCAGTGTGGTACTCTCTGGGACGAAGTGGGGTGAGCAGGTGGGTGGGGGAGATGGGAGGTGCCAAGCTGTGCAGGAGGGGCGACATCAGGCAGGGCCCGGAAGGAAGCGGGAGCCCTGTGATCAGCCCTGGGACAGGTGTGCGGATCCAGGAGCGGTGTGTGCCAGGCAGCTGCTGGCGTGTTGCAGGGACTCCTGGGAGGCTTGGGCTGATGTGGGGTGAGGGCAAGGGTGCCGGGTATGGGTATGGACAGGTCAAGGTGAGGCCACACTGTGGAGTGCTGCTGAGCAAGGGCAGAGGCTTCTTCATTTCTTGTATAGCCACAGGAGAGTGATCGGAAGGGTTTCTGTGAGATGGCCGATGTGACCTGCCTGGTTATTGTTATTATTGTTTTCATTTTCTGGTTTATTTTTAGTCCACATTTGTAGCACATAATGATTACTTTCATGGGGAGAGTTGGTCCGTGTACGTGAAATGTCTTAATTTTAAAAAAAATTTTTTTAAAAAAACCCCGTGTTCCCCTTCCTCTCCCCCTACATCTTGAAGTTGCTTTAAGCAGCTTTCCAGAAGTGTAATTTACTTTGGTTGCAGCTGTAAAAGAACCCCGCAGCCTGCAGTGTGGCGAGCTGGGGGGAGGAGCTGGAGTCAAAGCAGGGAAGGGCAGTTAGGTGCCCTCCCTGGGGCTGGGGTGGTAACAGTATCAGGTTGGGGATATCCTTTGAAGGCAGAAGGGACAGAGTTTGCTGATGGCTCGGGTGTGGGGTGTAGCAGCATCAGAGGTGCTACGTGGGATGAATGGTGGCGCCACCTACTGTCCTGGGGACAGGTCCTGTAAGTCGCTCACCCAGTCCCTGGAAGAGCCAACAAGGTGCGGGGTGTCCTTGTGGGAAAGGCAGAGGGGCATCCTGAGCTCTTGCGAGCCAGAGGTGGCCTCGGACTCCTGCTCCTCCCTCACCCATGTCCCAGCTGAGAACATAGGAGACTGCCATGGGCCTAGGCCAGAAGAGCCTTGGGCTTGGGCCCCTGCCCCATCTGGAAGAGGAGGAAGGACCCCAGAGGAGCTGGGACAGGAGCGGAGGGCAGGGGTGTGGCTGAGAGGAGGCAGGTCTGGAAAGAGGGCATCGGGCCCTGGCTTTGTTGTCCTTGCAGGGCGATTTGTGTGGAGTGGACAAAAGCCACACTGCTGTGAGTTTAAACAAGCAGGAGTGTGAGTTTAAACAAACA